CACAAGGCTCCTGGACCTGATGGCATCCCTGGCCGTGTTCTCAGGGTGTGTGCAGTTCAGCTGGCAGAGGTGTTCACAGACATCTTCAACAGGTCCCTGCTGCAGTCTGTAGTCCCCACATGTCTTAAACACTCCACCATCATTCCTGTCCCCAAAAAGACAATCATCACCTGCCCCAACGACTACCGCCCAGTAGCACTCACCTCCATCATAATGAAGTGCTTTGAGCGGTTAGTCAAATTATTCATCACCTCCTCCCTCCCTGAATCTCTGGACCCCCTGCAGTTTGCCTACAGAGCAAACAGGTCCACAGACGACGCCATAGCCCTCACCCTCCACACTGCCCTCTCACACCTGGACCCGAAGAACAGGAACACATATGTGAGAATGCTGTTCATTGACTACAGTTCAGCATTCAACACCATTGTGCCCTCCAAGCTGGCCATCAAGCTCAGAGACCTCGGGCTCAACAGCGCCCTCTGCGACTGGATCCTGAACTTCCTGACGGGCAGACCCCAGGCAGTGCGGGTGGGAAACATCACATCCTCCACCCTGATTCTTAACACCGGTGCCCCTCAAGGCTGCGTGCTCAGCCCTCTCCTCTACTCCCTGTTCACCCACGACTGCGTGGCCACACACAGCTCCAACACCATCGTGAAGTTTGCTGATGACACGACCGTCATCGGCCAGATCATAGACGATGACGAGACGGCATACAGAGAGGAGGTCGAAAACCTGACATCTTGGTGCCAGGAGAACAACCTCCATCTCAACATCAGCAAAACAAAGGAGCTGATTGTGGATTACAGGAAGCAGCAGGGAGAGGGACACGCCCCCATCGCCATCAATGGGACTACGGTGGAGAGAGTCAAAAGCTTCAGGTTCCTTGGGGTCCACATCACTGAGGACCTGACATGGTCTCTTCACACCACCACCATCACCAAGAAAGCTCGACAGCGGCTCTTCTTCCTCCGCAGGCTGAGGAGGTTCAAAATGGATTCCAGGATACTCTGCAACTTCTACAGGTGCACGATAGAGAGTATCCTCACTGGCAGCATGACGGCCTGGTACGGCAGCTGCACCGACCTCGATCGTAAGGCTTTACAGAGGGTGGTGAAAACTGCACAGCACATCACCAGGACGGAGCTGCCATCCATGGAGGACCTTTACTCCCAGCGGCTCAGGAAGAAATCACTACGGATTATCAAAGACCCCCATCACCCCAGCCACAAACTGTTCTTTCTGTTGCCGTCTGGCAGACGTTACCGCAGCATCCGGGCAAGGACAAGAAGATTCGGAGACAGTTTCTTCCCGCGGGCAGTGAGACTGTTAAACAATTGAACTGTTGAAACAACATCAAACATTCAACTGCTACTCAGTAGTATGTATCTAATACCTAATATATATATATCATTCCAATAACTTGTATATAGACTCATACTGCACTATTCCACATCATAACTTTATTTCATTTTTATAACTATTATTATTTTTGTATTGCTCTTGCTCTTATTGTTATTATGTTATGTTATTATGTTGCATTGTTGGAGAAGCCTGTGACATAAGATTTTCAACTGCATAATTACTCTGTAGCTATGTCAGATTGACAATAAAGAACCTTGAACCTTGAACCTTGTCTGTTAACAGCTAATGTAAACTGGCTCGTTATGTTTTCAAGACGGATTTGATTTTTGTTTTGAGGAAAACACATGGTGTGTCCTGATTTGTACTCAATTTAGTGTTTTATTTGTATTTACAGGGAACAGCAGAGGTCGAAGTGCAACAGGCTCGTGATGCACAGCATGAAGTGATACGTTGCCCAAGAGCCAGATGCAGTTATAACCATCAAGTAATAACCATGTGTCTCCATGTATGTTAATGTGTTGTGCTTTTAAACAAACTTGTTACTCTTTTATGACAACTGTTTTGAAATAATCACATTTTAATAAAATGTATTAACATGTCCATAACGTTCCCTTTTTTAATTTATTTGTTTAATCTGCAATGTTTCAATGCTATCAAATATTTAAAGGGTTGGATTGAAATCAGGAAGAGTTTGTCGTATATAGGTTCCGGCAACTCAATTGTGTTTTATAATTTACTTTATTCTCGTGTGGTTCTTAGCAGATTGTTATTTGCATTGGTTACACTTAATATCTGGGCTTTTAATTGTAGGCTCATCTCATCTTTTCATATGCAGAAAAAATCACATTAGTGAGTTTACCCAACTCCTATAATTGCTTGGAATCGCTTGACACATATTTTTTAAGTTTTAGCAAAGTAACACATTCTTGAGTAGAGGAAAACTAAAAAAAGTACATTTCACCAACTCAAAAATTGCAAAAGTTGACTAAACTCTTAAAATTGCTTGGAATCGCTTGACACATATTTTTTAAGTTTTAGCAAAGTAACACATTCTTGAGTAGAGGAAAACTAAAAAAAGTACATTTCACCAACTCAAAAATTGCAAAAGTTGACTAAACTCTTAAAATTGCTTGGAATCGCTTGACACATATTTTTTAAGTTTTACCAAAGCAACAGTTTTTACAGTGTAGGCTGCCGCGGCTTTGTTGTCTGTGCGAATCAACACATGCTGATTCAGCAGCAACGGGGCAAAATGCTGGATTACTCTCCGTATGGAGAGCAATTCCAGCACGTTTATGTGGAGGGACATGTGAGCCGGCCACTGTCCCCCCACTGCCTGCGACATACACGTTTCTCCCCACCCTGAGAGAGATGCGTCTGTGAACACCGAGATGTGTGACGTAACTCTGCCCAGGGGCACACCCGCTGACAGGACGTGGGGACTTTTCCAATAGGTTAAGTCTGAACCCACGGAAGGAGGGATGGCCACCATGCGCCTCTTCTGTCGCACGGGGTCGATGCGCAGGCGAATAAACCACCTCTGGAGTCTCCTCATGTGAAGGAGACCCAGGGGAATCACCACGTGACCAGCTGCCATCATGCCAAGCAGCTGCATCACGGAGAGGGCTGTCACCACGCTGCGAGGTGTGACGCGTCGGAGAAGAGCTGTCAGTGCCTCCACTCTCTGCTGTGAGAGTCGCGCTCTCATGCGGGCTGAGTTCAATTCCACACCCAGTTAAATAATACTCTGGGAGGGAAGAGGGCAGCTCTTCTTCCAGTTTATTACGAAACCCAGCTTTGACAGATGTGATACGAGCTGTACCGTCTGTAAAGCAACTTCCTCTCTGGATCGAGCTAGCAATAGCAGGTCGTCCAGGTAAAATAGTACTCTCATCCCTCCTCTGTGTAGCGGCTGCAGCGCCGTCTCTACACACTTTGAAAAAGTGCGAGGAGCCAGGGAATAACCGAACGGCAGACGGTTGTACTGGTACGATATTCCCTGGAATGAGAAACGCAGGAATTTCCTGTGTTTTGGGATGATGGCTATGTGGAAGTAAGCATCCTTCAGGTCTATCGATGTGAACCAGTCCCCCTGGTGAACACACTCCAGCACCTGTCTGATCGTCAGCATGTGAAAAGGCCTTTTCATTATTGCCTTGTTGAAAACTGACAGATCGAGGATGGGTCTCATTCCCCCTGTCTTTTTCGGGACAAGAAAATAGCGGGAGTAATACCCCTGATTTTCTTCCCCTTGAGGAACCCTGGAAATAGCCTCTTTCAACAGGAGTTCCCGCAGCTCTGCCTGGAGCGCAAGACACTGTTCCTGGGATGACAGGAGTGTTTCCTGTATCCCATTGAACTGTTGGGGGGGAGAGGCGGACTGCAGGGTGTACCCTCTGCTGATCAGCCTGCTCATCCATCTGTCCATCAGACACACGCGCTGCCACTCTGAGAAATACTCTGAGAGCGGGCGCACATGCTCGAGATGTGTTGTGGTCGTCATGGCGACGAGCCACGTCAGAGCCCTCGCCGCCGCTGCCCGTGAGGCAACCCAAGGTGGGCCCGGAGCGAAAGGGCTGTGAGGGAGCCTCCACACGCTGCGTTTCACTCCGGCTCTCATCATGAGGCGTACACGCTCAGGGGATGAGTGGAGGTGGATGCAGTGCTGTTCACATGAGGCGTTATAACGGCGCTCATGGGTTTATTATGACCGTGTGTAGGAGGCGTATCTCGGACAGAGGAATGCCGCGAGCTCTGCGGTTTAGGTAGGTTAAAACCAGCAGGCTTCTGCAGCGAGCCCTGCTGTCTACTAATCAACAGATTGGTGGCAGCTGGCTTAGTTAGCGAACTCTGCAGTTTATTAACCGATAGATTAAAAACTGCAGGCTTTTGCAACGAGCCCTGCTGGCTACTAACCGATAAGTTATAGACAGCTGGTTTACACAGAGTGGAGGATATGTGAGAAACACTTGATACTGATGACTCAGACAAAAAGTTGGAAAATGAACCCATTTTATTTTCCTCACTTCAACACGTCAGAAGACATTATCAAAGATGTTTTATTGAGAAGATGATCACTACGTAACAAAAGTTTTCAAAACCGTTTCTAGTCTTCGGTATTTCCAGACAAGTGGCTACTGAAATCAATCTTACTAACTGCTGTCTGTGCAATTTACTTTGCGCGAGTTGGCGGACTTTATTTTGCTTACTTTAACATCATTTTTCATGGTGTGGCTAAGGTGGGGCTCAGCCATTTCTTGGTATGGCTGTAGCCTACCCCAGCCATACCCTGGCGCCGCCACTGCCCTGGTCCCTCCACGCATCAAATACTGCAACTCTCTTCTCTCTGGTCTCCCTTAACCACCAGAGCCTTCGGCCGCTCGGCACCCCCCCCTCTGGAACTTCCTCCCACCGGGCATCCGGAATACTGACTCTCTCCATTTTCAAATCACGTCTCAAAACATTTTTCTTCACACTGACATATCCACCCTGATCACTATTCATCACACATCCTCTGTTCTTATTGATTATATTGTCTTGTTTTATTGCAGGTATTTTGTTTTTGTACCTTTTTACGACGACTTTCAGAGCCTTAAAAAGGTGCCTATATAAATAAAATGCATTATTATCATTACCTGTGCTGAATTTGATGACTGTATTGCTGTTGTCCAAACAATACAGGACATATCCTTGTATGAAAGCAGTCTGCTCTTTTAGAGATATAGGGTCCCAGGATACTTCGAAATCGGAATCCTGCTGTTTCCCCTTCAATGACTTAAACAGGCCTTCTTTTATACCTGACGAAATGGGTAAAACAGTGTAAGTGAAAGTGCTATTTTATGCCACTGACACATTTGTAATGCAAGCATTTGTCCACAGAAAAGTCAAATGATTCAATCATACTTTTCTCTGTGAAATAGCCCTCTCTTTTGTCCAGTAGCAGTGGAGCTCCCTGGGTGCAGGCGTACACGGAAAATGAGAATCTTTGTCCGTCGGTGAAGTTTTCTGGGGTAGAGAAATAACAGGAGAGCTGTTGTGCTGTAACACAATCAAATGTAATGTTACATTGATAACTGTTTTGTGGGAAAAGAATAAAACTTACTTGAAAATACTTTGGCATTGGTCTTATTGGGAGGCACTCTCAGCCAGTCCACAGTGCAAGGCCCTGACGTAGGGCACCAGTCCACTATGTACCCACAGCTGGCGGCAGGACTGGCAGACCAGGACAGGACGAAGCCCCCGTTACTGCCAATGATCCGAGAAGTGTTCACTCTGTGTCCAGCTGAAAATGAAGACTCTTTGAAACTTAGGTTTGACATAAACGTATTGCTGAAATGATCTGGTTAATATTTGTTGCAGAGTAGATCATATCTTAAAAGCAATATAATTATATTAATTATTAACATTTCCTTTAACATCATTGTCCCATAAAGGCATTAGAAATACATTAACAGTTTTGCTAATCATAGCCACAGCGATAAACAAATGGTTGACATTTGTTAAATAGGATTTACTCTCAAGACATATTTGTTATATAATGTTTCCATCACACCATATAATTATAAAACGGCACAAGAACAATTTATTGTGAATTTATGATTTGCAAGTTCACAGCAACAAGCAGAAACAAACCACCGTCATCACCATCGAACCAATAGTCATCACAGAAGTTCTTTGAATTGAATAAATCTGGAGCTACAGTGAAATAAGTTACCGATATCAACTTCATGTTGCTGTGGAAACAGGAAAACAGAACTCCTGCTAGCTGGCAATATTACATAAATACATTTAATGTTTCCTCCATTGAATTATGTTTTAAAAATATATTAAAGTATGTTCGTTTTGTATACTTTTGATGATCTTTACCACTCTCTCTCTCTGGATATAAGTTGAAAGTTGGCCCTGAGCACACGCCTAGATGCCTGTGCAAACTTCAGAAGTATACCCCCTCCCCCCCACTCATCTGTGATGATTGAGCTGCATTTTTCCTAGTATTAAACCCTTTGTAAGCGTATTTAACCCAACTACTCCTTAAATGAAAATTACTTGTATAACTCACCCTTAATACAAATGTATTTAAACTTGACATTTACAGTTAATGTGAGTGAAAAAAAAAGAAAAGACTTCTAGCAGTTTCAACATCTGTTGTTAAGTCACTAGCAGGGGTCACCAACCTTTTTGACACAGAGCTAACTGAAGGATAACGAGGAATAGAGAGGGCTACTAGTTTGATATAATCTTTCTGAAGAATATACATGAGCAGTTTTCCTTTAAACAATTAATATTATGCATTAGGCTATATATAAGAAAATGATATTTAGGGCCTGAGTTTGACAGAGTCGGAGTGAAGACCTATTGAAATCGTTGTGATTATTTTTCTTTTTATTATTATTTTTCTACCAAATGAATTGCCTTTTTGAGGGCCTTAGCATGCTCAAAATGTGGAGATTCTTCGCACACTTGTCAGGCCTGGGAGATATTTGATATTTTCATAATTGGCGCATGCAAAATGGCTCTATAGCGCCCCCTAACAAGCAGTGTTTCGTTGTGCTTTCACCTACAAGTCTGACATTTGGTAGACATACAGTACCAGTCAAAAGTTTGGACACACCTTCTCATTCAATGGTTTTTGTGTATTTGTATTTGTTTATACTTTGTAGATTAATACTGAAGACTTCAAAACTATGAAAGAACACATATGGTATTATCTAGTAAACAAAAAAGTGTAAAAAGTCCAGAATATGATTTTAAGGAGTAGCCTTCTTTTTGCTTTGATGACAGGTTTGCACACTCTTGGCTTCTCTCAGTCAGCTTCATGAGGTTGTCACCTGGAATGGTTTTCAATTAACACTTGTGCCTTGTCAAGAATGGGGCGAAGCCTGCGAGCTAGTTCAGGCAGTCAACTCGAGCACTTACGCTGCATTCATACATAATGCCCCTTGCCACTCTACAACCAACCAAACAGAGTCTCCTTAAAGGTGGGGTAGGTAAGTTTGAGAAACCGGCTCGAGATAAACTTTTTGTTATATTCCATGGAATGCTCTTAACATCCCGATAGCAATGAATATCTTAAGTGCTTTGACAAAAAATCCATAAAAAAATGTCATCTGTGGAAGCCGTAATACTGTAAAAAGCACGACCAATCATTTTAGCCAGCCCGGCTAAAATAACTGGATGGCCTTCCTGCCTGTCAGCCTTCCATCTGTGCACAAACTTATCTCGTGCCCTCATTGGTCATGTGCGCATTCTTGTGTGTTGGAGGAGGGGCTTTGTAAGGAAGTGGCAGATTTTTTCCGGCTGTGTATTTTCAAATTCTAGCGAACTCGAGCTGGTTTCTCCAAAATTACCTACCCCACCTTTAATATGCCGCTCTATTTAACCTGCCAGATCTCTCTCCATGCATTGCTTGCTGCTGCTGCTGCGTTCGTGCCCTGCTATTGCGTTCACATTGCTACTGCTGTGTTTCATGCTGCTGCTGCTTGCCTGCTGCTTGCCTGCCGGTGCTGTCCTTGCAAATGTCTATTGCAATCTCCGACTCTGGAACCGAATCATCATACGCAAGAAGCCGTAAGAAATGCCTCATTCCCGAAACACAGGCCAGCTCAGAACATGGTTCAGACGCCGCTGGAACGAGCCACAGCTCCTGCACGAGACACATCCGGGTGTCCCTTCCGTCCTCATCTGGAGTAGCTTTTAATATCCTTTGGGCCAGAGGAAGTCCCGAGTTCTACGCCAGCACCGGTAACAACCCCTCTCTTGTGTGTCAGCTAAGAGTGGCACTGTCTCTCGGTCGGCGGGTATTTAAACACCATAAAAGGCAGGAGCAAGCGGACTCCGGCATTCCCAAGTACCTGCCATCCTGTCCTACCTTCTCAAAGTTAATCAGCGCTTGAAGCCTTTAATTCCACGATATATTCCCTTGAACAAACTCGATTTCCTCTGCCTGCAATGTAAACAAATGTTTCTACTTCCGCGTTCAACCACGTTGTGCCACTGACGTCACCCCCCCGAGGATGCTGGGAATTGGAGTCCCAGATCCAGCCACGAGTTCTAGCTTCCTGCCCCTGCAGCAGCAATTCCTTAGGAATGGCATCTTAGCAGGTATATAATACAATTCTGCATAAGCTATGTTTTATTATGGGAATATTTAGCCTGCAGTAAGTCATATTTGAGGCAATTATACAGAAGTTGTAAGTTTATAAGTATTTATACTTCTATAAATCAATTAAATTAAATGGAAATAAATTAATCAATTTCCATTACGTTAATATGAAGGGAAGCTCGATACATTTTTGACCATCATTTTAGACTTCGATCTCCCCTACAGTGGCTCTTCTATGGATACCATGAATCCTTCTCTGCCAAGCGGCCATGTACATCTAATCACCTACCAAAGAAGAGTTTTTTCCCCACAGGAATTAAGCGCTACCTGCAATATTCTGCCCCCTCGCTGGATGTGCCTCAGGAGGCTTCATGCTGCAAATCGTTTCCAAAGCGCTTTCTAAATCAGATGTTTGTCAAATGACCTTATCACAGGCTTAAATCAAGGTTTCTTAGCAGGTTATGCTGGCTCCCAGGGACCCATGTCTGTTAAAACCTGCACTCAAGACTGAAGTTGCACTGAAGGAGGAGTATTACTCGTGCTGCTATTTAAACGTTTAAAAACATGACAGGCCCCTAGCCTAGTGCTAGGAGGATTTATTCTAGCAACGTTTCTTCATTGAGCCGTTAGTTCCTCACGATTATTCTGTCAAGAGTATTAATAACTACTAAAGATTTTTCCCGTTTCTATGCTCTGTAGATGACATGGCAGGGAAAGCAGACATCACATATCATATGCCTTCTGTGGCATATATATTTTAAAGTTTTATACTCAAGTCACTTGGTTGCCGTAGGAGCCCACGTTTCTTTGACACCTCGTCAGAAGCATTATGCTGGATTCTCTACAACACCTGCAAGCACCCCTTGGTGTGTCCATCTCTTAACCATTTCCTAGTAGTTGACTTTCCCAGTTAAAACCTTTTCAACAGCTAGGCCTACCTCTTTCAGACAGGAAATGGAAGCCCTTAAACACGTCTAGAATTATCGTTATCATTTTCGATAGTGTGCTGATGCAAGCTTCACTGCCACCAGACAAGCTGTCCCGCATCAGAACAGCCATAATTACAATTCATGTTATTTATTTAGCGCCTTTCCAAGTGTTCAAAGTGCTCTACGTTATACTACATATTAGACTTGTAATACATTCAATACTGATTACTGCCTTCAATCATGGTCTCCACTCGTAGTCTCTCTAAAAGAGATGTTTTATATTTATAAGAAAACTAGCTCGAGCTCTAGCCTTCTGTCCAAACCTTAAAGTGGACCTATCTTGCTATATTTGAATAATATAGTGTAGGACCATACCTATATAAGGCATATTTATACTTTTTTTGAGATCATGCATTTTAGCCATGCCTCATTTTGCTCAATTTGACATTTTTTAGCTCTGTTTTTGCAAGGGCAGATTCTGTGAGAACAGCACCATCTACAGGCCTGGCATATGTACTACAGCGTCTCCAGCGCTTTCGAACGGCAATGGCCGTGGCTGTCTCCTCCTGATTGGTGGAGTTGGCCCAATAGCCGTAGCGCCACCGTCCTGACGTCAGGACAGTGTTCAAATCTGGATCAGTTTTTATCAGATCCGTTGCAGCCCCTTTTTTAGAGATTTGGGTATGGAGGAAAATAGAGAGGGTTGTGTTTTCTGACACTTGGTGAGTTCCCTGGAACACCGGGGACACATATTCATGTATAAAAGACGTACAAAAGTGCATTTTGCATGATAGGTCCCCTTTAAGGCACCATAGTCTTAGGTCGCATTCACACCTGCCTTGTTTAGTACTATTGAATCGGTCCTGGAGCGTTAACCCCTTGATGCGGTTCGTTGGATTGGTGCGGAAGCAGTCCGATACCTCTGCTCCGCCTAAAGAGGTGGTCTCGGGTCGCTCGCTAGTAAACTCTGGAGCGGTTCATTGCTAGTGTGACGTAGTCCGCATCAAACTTAGGAAACAAACTATTTGCGCGTTATCGCCTTGTTTTGCCATGTGTGCAACATCCAGTAACCTATAGGGTCATGCATTCATTCTGGTGACGGCTTACCTCACAGAGAAAGGCAGTGGTACAATAAAATCAGAGCCACCTGTCATCGGTGAAACCTCCTCACTGCATAACGTCTCATTATATGTGTTAATGTTTTTATGCACGTTGTCTGATTTGTAATCCTATGCGCCGGCCGCAGAGTCT